CGAAGCCAACCTTGTAGAGCCAGAAACTTCAGTAACTCAAATGTCAATTTGAGTTAGGCTCCAAGAGTTGAATGTTACAAGAGCAAACTTCAAACCATTTGAATTTTATAACCTTTTAAAGTTCATACAATTGGGGTGCGGCAGATTTAACTGACAGGTGACAGAGCTGTATCAATTAGCAATCTGTCAGGCTTCACTTCATCCGAGATGATTGTACTTTTTTTTTTGTGAAATTCATAATATTTGTTTTTAACTTTAACTTTTAAATTATTGCAGGACATATTTTATGATGTTGCCGTGTCTGACACCTCATGACTTCAAATCAAGTTGTGTAGAAACGTCTTGAGCTACGCTTATATCTTTATATTTTTCTTTCAGTAACAAAAGTTGTAATTTTTTAAAGCAGTCTTGATCAACAGTTTTTTCTTTTTCCCACTAATTTTCGGTCCAGTTCTTTCTTTTTTTCTTTTTTGTAAACAGTTACTTAAAAAGCCATCACGTGACCCGACGGTTTTAGCTAATTATAGGCCAATCTTCAACCTTCCTTTCATCTAAAAAAAATCTTGAAAAAGTAGATGTAAAACAGCTTACTGATAATCTGCAGAGGGATGGTTTATTTGAAGAGTTTCAGTCAGGTTTCAGTCAGAAAAAGCTTTAGCGAAGGTTACAAATGATCTTCTTATAGCCTCTGACAGTGGACTCATCTCTGTGCTCTGTCATGGTTTGGGGGATTTTGTCAGAGTAGATGGATGCAACCCTCAGATTTTGATTCACAATGCAGTTCTATCTGGCGTGTTAAGTGTTTGACTGCTTCATTTTTCAGCATGACATTGATTCCAAACACACTCCCAATGGAGGAAAAGAATATATATATGGAAAAACACAATGGAGCACTATTAGTCATGGATTGAAACCCCTATTTCTAAAGATGACTGAAGAATTTCTGAAGAAATTACAAATGCTTGCCTATCAGCATTCAGGTTAAAGAACAGTGACAGGCAGTGAGTGAGAGCTTGGCATCCTAAGTTTTGAAGTTTTATATCTTTATTAGGTATGTGTTTTTTTTTTTTTTTGAAGGGATGCCAAAAGCTATCATTTTTTCTGTAAAGCAAATTTACCTTGCCTATGGGTATAAATAAATTTACCTTGACCCTTGACCTTGACCTTGAAAGAATAAAGGTGGCCATACCAAGCTAACTTCTGCAGTCTAATTTGATGATTGGCAGCACACGCCATCTCTTGGATCAAAATTCATGAGTAATTTGCTTGCTTATAACGTAAGATAAACAAGCAAATGCCTGATTAAATATTTATAACAACATGTGAAAATTATCTAAAGTTTGTGTTAACCACAATATTTTAGACATGAAGCCAAAAAACATCAAAATGAGAACCAGGATAAAGAAATGCAAAATTATTTTCATGCTTTAGGACAGCATTTGTCAAGCTAGCTGACAAATTAGCATTTCACACACTTGCCTAAATATTGTCACCTCTGGCTCCAAAAAACAAAAATAACACAGAAGCTATAGAGGGTGTAAAATGTGAGTTCACAAACCACATTATGTCACAGTGGCAACATCCATCTTTTATATACAGTCAGTTGTGAGAAAAATGGTGAAAAAGCCATACAAGTTTATGTAGCAGTGTCATTTTTTTCATGCTGGTTTTTTTTATTCATAATACAGCTTTGAATAAGTTTATACCCCCGCCAGGCTTCATGACAACATCATACCCCCTCATTAGATGCCATTACACTGCGCTGTCTCACAGTAGCAGTGAGAGCTCAGTCTCCAGTGATTCATTACCTCAGTGAAAGAGCACCATGCAGGCCATAATCAACTCGGGTTACAGACTGTGAAACACACACACACACGCTCACACTCACCTCTGACAGTTATCTGCTGGTCTGATGTTACTACCGATTCCCGTTTCTGACTCACTAGTCCACATCAGGTACTGATATCATCATATACCAGATATCATATACCTCAGACACAGCATAAAATATAATCATCCCAAGCAAAAGAAGCCTGATGTGTTAATCGATTTTTTATTTTCTTTTGAGGTTTTTGCTGTACTGTGCCAGATTGTCTGAAAAACAAATATGATCATAACTTTGTGATTCTTTGAGTCTATTTCTTGACTTCGGGTAAATTAATGCTATTCCTCACCACTGACTCTTCATGTCGTGCATATTTAAGGCAACAGTTTAAGGCTAACATCCATTTGCTTGCTTATTTTCCAAATATTTCACTTTTCTTTCAACAATCTCCCAGCAGGCTGCCAGTACATATGCAACAGTGTCATACTGAGGAAAGAAAACGATAAGCATCTCCTGGGTCATTGATTCAGTCGTGTTATGACACCATGACAACCTTGAATGCCATTTCAGAAACCCAGTAAGTCACCATGCAAGCTCCTTCTGTGTTGAGGTCATGTCTTATTAGAAGCTACTTTATGTGAAGCAGTCTGTTGTAATACACAGAGTGACAATTTAAATTTGTGCTGTCTATTTATTTGTACACTCACAAGCCAAAATCCAAGAGGCCATCAGATAGCCCTTTCCTAGCTGTTTTCGGGTGAGTCATGCTATGCAAATGGAGCCAGGGGTGTGTGTATAGTTTGTAAAGGTGAGCAGTGATGAGGTTAGGTCTGTCACAGTGATCACCCCCCACCGTCCTCGTCTGTCCACCCGCACAAGGCCTGGCTCGGCCGGGAAGAACTTTGTGTTGCATAAGAGCACCGCCACAGCTGCTGCAAAGTGACATTTAAATGAGCTGTCACCGCGAAAGAGATAGGGAGTAGGTGGGAAAACAGAAAGAGAAGGGCAATTGCAGGATAAAGCCAAGGCTTGTCAGGAGGTGGTAAATATGGCAAAATATTGTGAGAGGGGAACTTTAAGTCGGATTTATTTGTAACACGAAAATGACTTTGGGAGGAGAGAGGAACAGGTCAACCTGACACTTGGACTTGATAATAAGAAGGGATCTGGCTTTGTATTAATTCCTGCACACAGTATCAACTTTTGTGCTTAATAACTCAGTTTAACAACTGAGTTATTAAGCACAAAAGTTATTTGTGTATCTGTGCGCCATTGTACCATCGGGCTGGTGCCGTGTTCAAACATGTGCCGTCGACAGTGTATTGCTCTCTCTTACATAACAATAACAAATAGCTGACTACCAAAACACCATTATCACCATCCATCTTGCAACCCGGCCTGGTCTCACTGGGACGGTGAGACGCTGGACATGCCGCCTCGGAACAGGAACAGAGTCCAAGCCAGCCATGGATGCACAGCTGACGGGCCACGTGAGAGTATACAGACAGACGAAGAAGATTCTTGTGTTCCACTTCAAAAGACTGTTGCTCCCATGCCACAGTTTCCATTGCTCAGTACGCTTAACTGAACGTAATTTTAAATATCATTGAAAATTAGAGTCTAGTTCACTCGTTTGAATTTATGTAACTTTATGAATAGCAAGCAACCTGACATGAGAAAGATGCATGTGGCATTACATAAAACAGGCTTTAGGCTTTAGGCTGGAACTTTATTTCAAGGTAACTTCAGACCAAAACACAAACTATCGCATACTTGTATAAATCTTTCACATTTTCAGCAAATTGCTGAACAGGAAACACATCCTTCCATCTCAGTCACGCAAACAACCAACTTAAAAATTCAACTTACAGTACTCACATTGCATTTCTTTTTGCTATTCTTCAAATATTTTGAACCACATACAGATTCTAATGAGTTAAAGCAGTGATTACGCAAACACTCTTTCCTGTAAAACCTTTAGAGGAAAGTCTGACATCAGATCGGTGTGCTATTTATTCCGCGTTCTTACTGATCATATGATTGAATGAAATGAGTGCTGATAATCATAGGACAGAACTATAAAGAAGCATTGCTCAGAAGAACATAGTTACCCTGAAGGTTCGCAACACATGAACAATGAACCGCCTACAACCCCGATAACACTCTTTGGTGGAGAGAAAAAAACACAGTTAATACTCATCCGTGGGATTCATTTCAAAATCTGCAAATCTCCTTTTAGAGTTTGGCCAGACTAAAGAAAAAAGAGTCAAGCTAAATGAGAGAGGGGAATATTTCAGCCTAGAACTTCCAAAAAGCAGCAACAACACTGTATGAGGCAGCAAACACTTGAATAAGAGCTATGCAAAGCTGTCAACCAGGTCTCCAGGGTTGATGACTACTGCCCCCTGCTTTGTGTCTCTTATTACTGCAGCCCATAGATCTTGGGCTCAGTCACTGAAGTTTTCATCATCTTTTTCGCTCTGCTCCTCCTCATCTTCCCCTCCTCCGTTCATGGCCCCTATCCTGGCCAGCAGCAGCGGCAGGTTTACGGAGAGACCCGGCGTCTCGTCCTCGTCAGAGTCATCCTTTGGAGGGTAGAAGCGTTTTGCCTTTGCCACAAAATCGTCAGCTATGTCTAGGTACAGGAGACGATCCTGTAAATAAGGAGAAAAACAATGGGCTGAAGCAAAAGAGCGAAACCAAATATGAACACAGACAGAAAAAAGGTGGGATTTTTGTTGTCTCCGTAATATGCCAACCTTTCTTTGTGATGATGCAAAGCTGAATGAAATCTGAGTTGTTGTTTTTTTTAAAAAAAGCCGAATTAAATTGCAGCTTCCTACTCTTTTGATGTCACAACTTAAATAAAACTGATATTATTTGGACTAAACCACTTAACCCATCTTAACTCATTAAAATCTACACTATAATGAGAGCTGGACAGCCTTGGCAATCTATTAAAGAATAATATTGATCATATTTGCCCATGAATGATCCAGTTTATCTACTTGTGACTCGAACTAAACTTCACAGGGCTGTTTTCAAACCTTAATCAGAAGGCAATAGCAAAGTTAATCTGACTTAGTATGAAGTCAAAGTTCAGTGATGGTGCAATTCCCACCAGCAAGCCCCGTTTTCTCACCAGGATGAAAAGATATCTTTCTGGTGGTGGTTCTTTGTTGCTGTTGAAGATGGAGGTCTCAGAGTGAAGTATGTGAAGGAGGGCACGTGCTCTTGGGGCGTTACGCATGCGGTCATTTGAGCCCCCAGCCGACACAGCCAGCAGAGAGTCTGCTTCTGCCATAAAACCTGGAAAATATGGCAGATAATCTCAGCATGGATTGGATTAATAATCTCTCAGACAATAGCATATCTCATCAGTCAAGCCCCACCTAGATTTTCCAGGATTGTCTTCCATTTCTCTCTGACTTCTCTGCGCGTGTCTCTCATGGCCTCGATATCAACACTCAGACGACGATAGCCCTGGACAAGAAAAGGAGAATAACCTCAAAAGGCATTTAAATTAACCGGATAATCAAATAACCTCCAAAAAGTACTCACAATGCAATGTAAAATGTTGCATTTCAAATGTAAAATTTGAACTGCAACTTTTATTGCAACAGTTATTTTTAAGATATTTGTGTCAGATTTTCTTTTTTCCACCTTGAAAAAAACACATTTTTGTTAGTCCCTGCCCCCAAATACCGTGGAGCCCATGCGGGTCTTCTGCCTGGCCTGCAGCAGAGAGTAGAGCACCCGGTCATCCGGTCTCTCCGAATGGCTGGGGTCTCCCGGCTCACTCCACAGGTTTGTTTCCTCATCTCGACGCTTCTGGACTTCACGGGTAAAATAGTCCAACGGATCCGCACTGTGCGGTCAGCCAACGCAGACAAGAAGAGACACAAGCTGTTAACACAAATTCAAACATTGGCTGTACGTGATATACATGATATGCTTGTCTGTGTCATCTTACGGTACTAAAGGCTGCTTTTCATCTTCTTCTTCATCATCATCAGCAACACAGCAGCAGCAGCAGAACTGCATGCAGAACCTGTTAAAGGCTGAACCCATCTATTAAGAACAGAGTCAGCTGGTAGTGGATGTTCACAGTGTCAGATAATCCAGAGAGAAGTTGTGTTTCAGTTCTTTCACAAGTGGAACGCCCTCTTGGATGCCAGAGGAGAATCTGCCACCGTCCCTGTGGGATGCTCTGTAGAGATTCTTTACAAAGCGGACCTTAGCCAAAACCTATATTTTGGCAAAGGAAAAAGCAGCTGTGACAACATTCAAGCCCTCCACT